CAGATGCCGAGTTTCTCAGCACTTTCTGTTTCTGTTTGGTGATGTTGGTTGATTGATAAATAACTGGCCAGGGTTCGGGAGAACACCTCTGCTTATCTTTGTTATAGTTCCATGGGATATTTTATATCCACTCAAGTGGGCAGACCGAACCTCATTTTAATAGCTTAGCCAAAAAAAAAATTCTGGTAAGAAACATAAAGTTGCCTTAGTTCGACTGGACCATAGGTCTGCTCTCTCATTAGAGACAGAGACAAATTGATGGTGGTTTCACCTGACATTGGTGGGTGGGGTCTTATAGAAACATATAAAATTACGAAGGGACTAGATAAGATAGAAGCAGGTAGGTTGTTTCCACTGGCAGGTGAAACTAGAACAAGGGGGCACAGCCTCAAAATAGGGGGGAGCCGATTCAGGACTGAGTTGAGGAAGAACCTCTTCACCCAAATGGTTGTGAATCCGTGGAATTCCCCACCCAGTGAAGCAATTGAGTCTACTTCGTTGAATGTTTTCAAGGCAACGATAGATAGATTTTTGAATAGTAATGGAATTAAGGGTTACGATGAACGGGCGGGTAAGTAGAGCTGAGTGCACGATAAGATTAGCCATTGTCTTATTGAATGGTGCAGCAGGTTCAACTGGCCAGATGGCCTACTCCTACTTTCTTTTGTTCTTATATCACCTGAACTTAAGCGAGGGGAGAGGTTGAGAAGGAGAGTGTTTCATGGTAACTTCAGCTGGTGCGGGAATTGAACCCATGCTGTAGACTGATTTGCAACATACTGCATACTGACAGCTGGCATTTTGCATTCTGGTGTGAGACTTGAACCACAACATTTTAAACCAGACTTTACTTGAGCTGCGAATGAGTCCAAAGCAAACAGCAAAAGTCTAATGCTTAGAAAACTTTAATAACCTAAATGTAAATTCAGAGTTTTTTATGACTTCAAGTAGATCATTAAGAAATCTGCACACGCATGAATCATTACGTCACAATAACATTAAAATGTAACAACATACTGTGATGTGCATAAACATTTCTGCTTTACTGTGGCCAGAATTCCACACTTTCTCACCTTATTTTGCAACTCCAGCACAGCAGCTGGCTCTCCTCAGCAGTCAAAGGGTTTTCAAAAGGAGAGGGTGTAGGCATCACAGCTGCTTGAGGAACATGCTAAACTATCATCAGGAACATTCATTGTCTATTATCGAACACTTGCATCAACGTACAAAACAAATGCATTTGCCCAACAAAAATTTCGGCTCTGAATTTTTCTCGTCCCTCACCATCTGTGACTGCATCAGAGGTTGTGTTTCTCTAGTTATGTCAGTTTAATTCCAAAGTTTATGCACGCTTCAGTCTTCTCTGCACTGTAAAAAATCATCCATGTCTAGCTTTGAAGGAATAAATTATTTCTTGGTTCATGTCTGAGAAAATGATTGCTAATGTTTCAATCCCCGAGTTTCAGCACAGAGACAGAGGCAGTATGTTATTTTTACCATCTTTGGAGTTGAACAGAATGAGGACAGCAATGAACTTAGCCAAGAAGCATTTGACACAACAATTTGGTATGTAGCAAAGTCTAATTCTTAAAGGGACTTTATCTCTCGAGGAACTGAATTGAGAAACAAGGGTGTTATATTAAATTTGTACGATAACCTCAGGGGAGGCGATGGCCTGTTGTTCCAGAGACCCAAATAATGTTCTGGGGACCCGGGTCTGAATCCCACCATTGCAGATGGTGGAATTAAGAATTAATCATGTCCATGAATTCATTGCCGATTGTCAGGAAAACCCACCTGGTTCACTAATGTCCTTTAGGGAAGGAAACTGTCATCCTTACCTGGTCTGGCCTACATGTGACTCTTAACAGCCCTCTGGGCAATTAGGGCTGGGCAATAAATGCTGCCTAGCCAGCAATGCCCTCATCCGGTTATTGAATAAAGGCAAAAAAAATTTAGAACCACTTTTTAAAAACTTATCCTTTCACGACAAGCCTGACATTTGTTGCCTGTCTCTAAGTACACTAGAACTTGCTCAGCCATTTCAGACAGCCATATTTTGCAGGTCTGGAGTCACATATAGGCCAGACTGGGTAAGGAATGCAGAATTCCTACCTTGAAGGACACAAGTGAACCGGATGAGTTTTCACAACAACTGATTACGTTTTCGCAGCTAGCTTTAAAATTCCACATTTGTTAATTAAATTTAAAATATATGTCTCTTTGTTGCAAAAATGGGATTAAAAGCAGTAGAGAATAAAAGTTGACCGGGATGACACCAGAGCTGAGAGGTTATGTGTATCATTGAAAAGCTGCATAAACTGGCTCTCTTCTCCAGAAAGATAAAGACTGAGGGGTAGCCTTAGAATTCTGAAAGGGTTTGCTTGAGTAGACACGGAGAAAATGTTGGATGAGTCCAGAACTGGGTTAGGCTATAAACACAAGATAATTACAAAGAATTCATGAGAAACTTCTTTAAATGTGGAACTTATTACCACATGAAGTGTTTGAGGTGGATGTCATCGATACATTGAAAGATATGTAGATAAACACATTAGATACAGGGGCTCAGAAGGGCCTGCAGGTAGAGTGTGATTATGTGAAGTGGCAGGATGCTTATGTGGAGCATTTTTAAAAACATATAAATATTAAAGTCATATCAACTGTACAGCAGATTTCACTAAAATGTTACATGGAAACATGGTGTCGGACTGATTGAAAAACTGGTATGAGGAAAGCATAGTTTCAGAGCAGTGATGTGGTCAGGGAACTATTCACATTAATTAGACTAATGCCAGCAGCCCAGCCCCAACATTTTATATGGTTTTCCTTATTCCTTCTTTCAATTTTTTTGAATTTCCTACAATCAGCAATTCCCTTCTTTTAAAATAACATGCTTTTGGTTTCTTGATGGAACAGAGATATAACAAATCATCTTCCAGAGTGAGCCAGTTCTGCTGTTTAAACTGATGAATACCAACCAGTTGGTCAAATGCATCCACACGTTCAGTGGGATAAAGCAAAGTTATCAATGTGGACAAATATGATCACCAGTCAGTTCATGCGCTTTGGAGGCTTTCATTCCAATTTCACTTGATGTATGGAGGGATTGTCTTAATAGCAAAAGCTAAGCAGGTTAGGACTCTACTCACTGGAGTTTAGAAGAATGAGAGGCGATCTCATTGAAACATATAGGATTTCTAAAGGGCTTAACAGGGTAAATGCTGAGAGGATGTTTCCCCTCATGGGAGAGTCTGGGACCAGAGGGCACCATCTCAGCATAAGTGGGGCGCCAATTTAAGATGGAGATGAGGAGGAATCTTTTTCTCTCAGCGTGTTGAGAGTCTTTGGGATTCCTTACTACAGAAAGCTGTAGGAACAGGGTCCTTTACTAAATTTCTATGTTAGCCGAAACACTAATCACTATTGAACTTTACTGAGGCCGCTTTTGGAATATTGTATTATAGTTCTGGTTGCCCCATTACAAGAAGGATGTGGAGGCTTCAGAGATGGTGCAGAAAGGGTTCACCAGGATGTTGCCTAGTTTAGCTATGAGGAGAGATTGGACAAACTTGGTTTGTTTCCACTTGAACATCTAAACATGAGGGGCGACCTGATAGAATTCTACAAAATTATGACAGGCATGGATAGCTGGAGTCTTTTTCCCAGGGTAGAAATGTCAATTACTAGGGGACACAGGTTTAAGGTAAAAAGAGGTAAGTTTAAGAGACAAGTTTTTTTTTACGCAGAGGGTGATAAATGCCTGGAATGCACTGCCAGAGGAGGTGGTGGAGATGGATGCAATAGCAACTTTTAAGAGCCATCCTGACAGTTATGTGAAAAGGCAGGGAATAGAGGGATATGGACTATGTAGAGGCAAAAGGATTTTGTTCAGAAAGGCATTATGTTTTGGCACAGTATTGGTGGACCGAAGAGCCTATTCTTGCACTGTAGTGTTCTTTGTTCATTACACTCTTTGTGATGGGAGTACTGTAGCCCAGTAATATCTTGTCAATCTTTCTCTGGTCATTTCTATAATGAATATTGACCTCTGGCAGTAAAAGTTGACAGGATATAGATGTAAGATTATCTTTCAATATATTCTAGATATAAAGTCACCAAAGTCCTACTGTACCATACAGTTGCTCTCTCATTAGAGAGAGAGAAGACTGGTGGTGGTTTAATCTATGAGTCACCAGACGACAGGCAAGGGAGAGGTTGAAGAGGCATGCCCTTCATAGGAGCCACAGTTGGTGCAGGAATCGAATTCATACTGTTGGCATCACAAACCAGCTGTCCAACCAATTGAGCTAACCGACCCCCTAACTATTTATTCTAGACATAAAATTGTTGCAAGCATTGCAACAAATAAAAATTTGCATTGTTCAGATTTTCAAATTGACTTTGAAAACTCTATGGTGCAGTAGGACTTTGGTGACTTTATATCTAGCATATAGTGAAAGATAATCTTACATCTAGACATACTTCCTGTCAACTCTTACTAGCAGAGAATTCCAGGTCAACATATGCAACATTTTAGATGTGAAGCAAATAAACATTGGAGACCATGCAACTCTTTCCCCACCTATTTCTTTTTCTAGCCATTTATTAAATGGACAAGAATTCATGTGCTGGACAAGTGGAATTTTCCAATATGCACTGTCAGTCTAGAGCCAATGCATAAAGTGTAAATGTTCCCTTTCCTGGCAACAGAACCAGAAGCAACATAAGAAAACCTTTATTTGCACAGTTAGTGGTAATCTGGAATGCACTGCCTGGAAGGATGGCGAAAGTACATTCAATAATAGCTTTCTAAAGAGTACAGAGTAGTTCTTTGAAGGGAGGGGAGAAAATTGCAGAGCTATGGGGAACAAATGGGGAATGGGACTGGTAGATAGCTCTACCGAAGAGCCAGGATGGACAGGAAATGACTGATTGCCCTCTCTCAGCATGGTGTCATTCTATGAATCCGAGTGATGTCTAGAGAATATTTACATTACCTCCGACTTCGCTCCACATCAGGATCAGTTCGATGATACTCCTGCCCACCGTGTCTCACTGCATCCTCTGGGTTAATAAATGCCTGTAGGAAGGGAGAGGGTGAAATCAGACGGACAAAGCCATGTCGGAAACTTAAGAACAAAGTAACACTCAACAATTAACTATGGCATCACCAAATCAATGAAATGCAAAAGCACAGTTCCGGTGAAAACAACCTTGTGAAAATGCTGGAGAAACCCAGCAGGTCTGGCTGTAAGGTGGAGAGAGAAACAAAGTTAATGTTTCAAGTCCAGTGTGACCCTTCTTTTGAAATTTCAGAACGAGTTCTGAAGAAGAGTCACACTGGACTTGAAACATGAATTCTGTTTCGCTCCACAGATGCTAGCAAACTTCTTGAGTTTCCGCAGTATCTTCTGTATTTGTTTCAAATTTCCAGCATCTGCTGTATTTTGCTTTTACTGTAAAAATGGTCTTCTTCACTTCTCTCTGCTGGCTTCCTGTCTTTCCAAAAACTATCCTGTTTATCTAAACTATATTAATGTACTTTTTTCAGACCCTTAACAACATCCTAAATTTTGATGTTTCCTCCACATCAACCATCAACTCCAAACAATTCATCACACAGCCTCGCAACCCCATGTAAAAATAATTTCCCTTGCAGTCTATCATAAATCCCTCCTTAAATCATTCCATCTACCCCTCCACCCTCACCTCCTTTAAGATGCTCCATAAAATTAATCTCTTTGGCTAATCTCCTCTCCTAACATCTCACTCTTTGTCAAGATGTCAAATCTTGTTTGTCTGTCTTCCTGTTTACAATGATAACATGCTATCTTCATGCACATTGTTGCTTGTTAGTCTTTAACATTGTAATGTTTTGTTGAAGTTCTCTCATTCTAGCTCCTTTCAAAGCGGTGGCACAGTGGTTAGCACTGCTGCCTCACAGTGCCAGGGACCTGGGTTCAATTCCACCCTCAGGTGACTGTCTGTGTGGAGTCTGCACATTCCCGCTGTGTCTGAGGGGATTTCCCCCTCGTGCTCCAATTTCCTCCCACACTGTAAAAGATATGCAGATTAGGTGGATTGGCCATGCTGTAGTGTACAAGGATGTGCAGGCTTGGTGGGAGGGTTACAGGGAAAGGATAGGGGGTAGGTTTGGGTGGGATGCTCTTTGGAAGGTCAGTGTGAACTGATTGGCCTGCATCAACACCATAGGGATTCTACAATTCTTAAATCACTGGAAACTATTTACTTTGATCTAATGTGACCCATCCTTTTCTAAATTTAAACATCTGGATCAACTCTGTTCGAAAAATTCAGGATAGAAAAGCATCAGATTGGAACTAGACTAGGTTGAATCACTTGGTGAGTATTTCAAACTGATAAGAGCAGGCTGAGCTGATCATTGACTATTCTATTTCTCCGTCCCCACCTCCTTGTAATATTGTAATAATGTACACAGGTGGATGTCTCTTAAGAGTTTCAACAAACTAGCCTTTTTTTAGGCTAAGGTCTAATTGAATGGAATTTGTTTTTAAGAGCTTGAAAGGAATATCGAGAGATGTTGCCTGATGGTGAGGATGTAGAAAGGAACATGACTTTAAAACCAGAACCAGGCCATTGAGAAAAGAAGATAGGGAACCACTTTAGCGTGCAAAAGAGGGAAATCTACTCCCACAAAAAGCTATAAATGATAGTACAGTTAATAATACCAAAGATGAGCTCGATTGATTTCTTGATGGCCATTAAGGGATGTGGACCCAAGACACATGGATGGTTCAATTAAATACCACGAATTGGCTCAGTGAATGACAGAACAGGTTTAAGGGATGAATATCCTCCAGAGATTCTTCCTCACATTTCCACACATCTCTTTGTTGCTCTCCCAGCCTTGGGAATAGTCTGAATGGGACAAAATTGCAGAATCATTACAGTGCAGAGTGAGGCTATTCCACTCATCATGTCTGCGCCAGCTCTCCAAATAAGCGCCTCACTTTACATCATCCTCCAGCCTTCTTCTCTAACCCTATGCATTCTTCATTTTTCAAACGACATCTAATTGCCTTTTGAAAGCTTTGATTGGCCTGCCTCGACCACACTCTCAAGGAGTGCATTCCAGACCCTAGTCGCTCACTGCGTGAACCCATTTCTCATATCACTTTTGTTTCTTCTGCCAATTAATTTCAATCTGTGCTTTCTCTTTCTCAAACATTTCATGAGGATGAACATTTTCTCCCTATCCACTCTGTCCGTACCCCTCATTAATTTAAGTACCTCTATCAAATCTCCTCTCGACATTCTCTTGTCCAAGGTAAACAGTTCTCCAATCAATCTTCATAATTACAGCTCCTCATCTCTATAACCATTCTCATAAATCTCTTTGACTACTCCCAATGTCTTCACATGAGGTGAAGCATACCACCCAGAAGTGCACAGCTGATGCCAAACTAAGTTTGACATAATCTCCCCGCTCTTGTACTCTATGCCCCTGTTAATGAAGCCTAAGATACTGTGTGCCTATTAATTGCCACCTCCAGTAACTTACACACATATACACACAGGTCCCTCTTATATTGTCTCAACATATTTTTCCTACCAAGATGCATCAAGATTAAATTTTGCAGACCCCTTCATAGTGATAGAAAGATTGACCAGGACATCTTAAGAGTGCACAAATTAATCTTTAGACAAACTTTGGGCAAAGTGAGGTAGCCAAGTCTTCTCTACCCTCATTAGCTCAGTGAAAGATTTAAGGGGAGGAATATCCTCCAGAGATTCTTATCTCCCTCATATTTCCACACATCTCTTTGTTGCTTTCACAGCCTTGGGAATAGTCCAAATGGGACAAAATTGTGGACTCATTACAGTGCAGAATGAGGCCATTTAATCCATCATGTCTGTGCCAACTCTCCAAGTGAGTGTCTCGCTTTACACAACCACCCTCCCAAACACAATAAAGGGAGGGTCCTCCTGGTCTTACTTTCCACCTCACCAGCCTCCGCATCAAAATGTATTATCCTCAAACACTTGTGCCAACTCCAATTAGATCCCACCACCCTGAACATCTTCCACTCCATGTGCCTCTCTGCCTTCCACAAGGACCATTCCCTTCACCACTCCTTAGTTTGTGCCACACTCCCCACCAACCAGTCCAACCCTTCCAGTACCTTCCCCGTAACCATAAAATACACAACACCTGCCCACACACCACCTCCCTCACTTCCATCCTGAGCTCTGAACAGCTCTTCCAAGTGAGCTTCACCTCCATCTCCTCCAACCTAGTCTATTGCATCCGGTGCTCCCAATGTGGTCTTCTCTACATCAGTGTGACCAAACATAGACCAGGTGACCATTTCACCGAGCGTCTTCACCTGGTCCATATTGGCCAACCTAAGCTCCCGGTCATCGCCCATTTCAACCACCCCACACTCCCCCCCCCCAAATCCCCCCCCCCGACATGTCCATTCTCAGCCTCCTCCAGTGTCGCAGTGAATCAGATCGCAAATCTGGGGAACCACACCTTATCTTCCGCCTGGGCACTCTACAGCCCGGAGGACTTAACATCGAGTTCCCTGATTGCAAATAACCTTCCCATCCGTTCCCCGGCTCCCTTTCCACCCACCACCTCTTCCTTTCCATTCCACCCACCGCCTCCTCCCTTCCATTCCACCCACCGCCTCCTCCCTTCCATTCCAGCTACCATCCCATCGACCAACCAGGTCGTACCCACTACCTATCACCACTCTTCCGCCACCCTTCCATGCCCCTTTATCTGCAGCTCCCCCTGATCCCCACATCCAGTCCTGGAGAAGGATAATACCCCTAATGTTGACATCTCCTCCTCCAGGTGGTGCCTGGCTTGCTGTGTTTTTGTAGCCTCCTGTTCGTTTTTCCTTGGATTCCAGCATCTGCAATTTTGTTTCTGCCTCTCACTCTACACCATCGTCCAGCTTTCTTTCTCTAACCCTATGCATTTACTGACCCACATTCACATTCGGTTAAGTCTTCCCTTTTATAAAAAGAAAATCTGAAAGACAGGGTGTCCCTGATCGGCGTGTGTGGGACGACGGGCAAAAATTAAAGCAGGATTTAAAAACCATGAAGCAGAATGAATACATATTAAGGCGGTGTGTTTACGATTTCAAACTGAACTGTGTGAAGCCCAGAGGAAATTTTGTTACCTTGCAGTTGTTTACAATGTTACGATACATATCCAACCCCACACACAAAGTGGAATTTAGAGAAGCCTACCCATTTTCTTGTGGATTTACGTTTCCAAAGTGCAACCCCTCCAAAACATTTCTGATCAGTGAGTTCAAAACTCCTCTAAAGTCATCAGAATCAATGATTTTACAATATATTAAAATTTCAAAACTATTGCAACTTTTTCCCCTCCTTTCTTTTCGGAGAAGGGCGCCCATTCTTAATAAATCCAACTTCAAATTAAACCGGAGGGTCTTGACATTAATTAACAAAAACATCAGGTCTGTCTCTCTCTCTCAATTTCAAAAAGTTCCTGCTCTAAACGGAAGTATTGCGTGTAATTTTTTTTCAAAATAAAAAGCTATAATTGTTATAATTGCAACCATCACCTTTTTGTGCAGCCGGAGTTGTCCCGTGATGATGGCCAGAGTATAGAGTTTGAGGACAAGCAGAGTGCTGTAGAAAATGTAACATGTAAAGACAGGGTTATCCATTTCTTTTGAAGACCGTGAAGTGACTGAATGTGAGAGATCTGTGAGAGCAGAGAGGTGACCAGAGGCAGCCAGCTGTATTTTCCGCCTACTCTCGGATCCAGCCCTGCATGCTCAGACTCTATTTGATTAGCCACTCCCAACACAAGTGCATCAGAACAAGGACAACGCAACGCAGCCACGTCCCCAGAACATTTACAAGTGGATTCCTTCAGTGTTTATCACTTGGGAAATAAAAACAGAAAGGACTGGAGAAACTCAGGAGATCTGCCAGCATCTAGATGGGTACATGAATAGGAAAGGCTTGGAGGGATATGGGCCAAATGCTGGCAAATGGGACTAGATTAATTTTAAGATATCTGGTCAGCATGGACGAGTTGGACCGAAGGGTCTGTTTCCACGCTGTACATCTCTATGACTGTATCTGTTGAGAGAAAGTAGCCATGATGTGGAGGTGCCGGTGTTTGACTGGGGTGGACAAAGGCAGAAATCACACAACACCAGGATATAGTCCAATGGGTTTATTTGATATCAGAAGCTTTTGGAGCACTGCTCCTTCATCAGGTGAAGTCATAGAGTCATAGAGTTGAACAGCACAGTAACAGACCTTTCGGTCCAACTCTTCCATGTCGACCAGATATCCTAAATTAATCTAATCCCATTTGCCAGCATTTGGCCCATATCCCTCTAAACCCTTCCTGTTCATGTACCCATCCTGATGCCTTTTAAATGTTGTAATTGTACCAGCCTCCACCACTTCCTTTGGCAGCCCATTCCAGATACGCACCACCCTCTGTGTGACTGGTGACTTCACCTGACGAAGGAACAGTGCCGCAAAAGCTTGTGATTTCAAATAAAGCCATCGGACTATTACCTGCTCAACATGGTGTGGAGCTGGAGGAGCACAGCAGGTCAGGCAGCTTCAGAGGAGCAGGAAAGGTGACATTTCAGGTGGGTACCCTTCTTCAGAACTAGGGAGGGGGAAGGGAGCTGGGAAATAAATAGAGGGAGGAGGGGCGGGGCTGGAAGAAAGTCGATGGGATGGTTAAAAGTGGATGCAGGTAGGGGGTGGTGGGGATTGGTTAGTGGGGAGGTTGGGGAGGATAGATGGGAGAAAAGATGGACAGGTTGCATCAGATCGAGGAGGCGAAAGGGAGGATGGGTGGGCCTGGGGAAAGGTAGGTGGGGTGGATGGAGGTAAAGGGTAGTGGGGATTGGTTGGTGGGAATGGTGGGGTAGATGGGTGGGAAAGAAGATGGATGGGTTGTGTCAGGTCAAGGAGGTAAGAGGGAGGAGGGGTGGGACTGGGGGAGGGGACTATAACGTGGTGTTGTTTGACTTTTAACTTTGTTGAGAGAGCAAAACAGAGTTTCGAGTCCAGTCACCCTTCTTCAGAACCTGTGGTTGTGATGACCCTATGGAACACTGAAACAAAGCAGAGGGCTCGGATAGCGATGGAACTTGTAATTATTTCTCATTAAGTCCCCGTCTGTTGTCTCTCAATTCAAAATTGACATCTACTCACGATCGCGTGTTTCTGGCCATGCAAATGAAAATGCTGATTCTCAACCTGCGCAAGGCAGGGCAGTAAAGTACATTATATTCAGCACCACATCCATTCAAACCAGAGGCTCTTAAAACTGAACAGGAAAAGAATGCATGATGGAGATCAGTCACAAGCATCAATTGGAAAGGTCCAAAAGAACTGTGGATACTATAAATCAGAAGCAAAAACAGCAACTGCTGGAATAGCTCAGTAGGTCTGGCAGCAGAAGAGAAATCCAAGTTAACATTTTGGGTCCAACCCTGCCTGCAAAAGTAGTAGACTCACCAACTTTAAGGGCATTTAAATGGTCATTGGATAAACATATGGATGATAATGGAATAGTTTAGGTTAGATGGGCTTCAGATTGGTTTCACAGGTCGGCGCAACATCGAGGGCCGAAGGGCCTGTACTGCGCTGTAATGTTCTATGTTCTATGTTCTATGACCCTTCCTCCGAGGAACTGCTGTTTCTGTTTTAGAATTTGGAAGTATGGTTATTCTGAACTTATTATTTCTTTATTTTTCTAATTTTTTTCCCCTAGGAACTTGTACCGAAGAAGCTGTACCTAGGTACCTTTGGACCTAAGACAGTACTGTGTTGACTTGTAAACTTCTCATTGTACACATCTGAGTACATGTGACAATAAACCTAATTCATTCATAATTTATTCAATTGCAAATTGTCGCTGGGAATTAGAGAAAAAATGAGTTTCACTTTAGTTACACAAGTATCTAGGCATTTAATACATCACAGTTGACGTTCTAATGGATCATATGAGTGGTTTGGTCAAAAGTGCCAGACTTGTGTTAAAACTACTGACAACTGTTATGCATCAGACACCACAGAGAACTAAATATTTACATTAGATTGTTGAAAGGGTTCACTGTATTGTCCACTATTAATTACATTTCTTAATTAAAGCATCTGATGTTGGAAGTTCCAAAGGAAGGCTAAGTGCTGGGGAATGTTGATCCATGTTGATCCAGCTGCTTTCGTCACTGTTTAAAAGGAAAAGTTGGACAGAAAGTGAAGTGACGTCAGGTATTAGGGTCAGATTTTCACCCCCCACCCCACAAAAAAAAGGAAAGCTTTGCATTTGCAGATGTCATGAGCTTTTTTTACAGCTGCTTAAGAATGGTTGTAATGCAATTCAGGAAATGCAACAGCCAAATTGCACATTGTAAGCTCCAACAAACAGCAATATGACAATAACTAGGTCATCACAGATAAAGGTTATGTATTACAGTTGCATTATTATGACCTTCCCTCCATCCTAAGGTCAGAAGTGGGGATGCTCGTTGATGATTGCACAATGTTCAGCATCATTCACAAATCCTCAGATACTGAAGCAATCCATGTCCAAATGCAGCAAGATCTGGACAAAATCCAGGCTTCATCTGAAAAGTGACAAGTAACATTTGTGCCACACAAATGCCAGGCAATAATAATCTCCAATAAGAGACAATCTAACTACTGCTGTTTGACATTCAATGGTGTTACCATCATTGAATCCCCCACCATCAATATCCTGGAAGTTACCACTGACCAGAAACTTGACTGGACTCGCCACATAAACACAGTGCCCACAGGAGCAGATCAGAGGCAAGGAATACTGCAGAGAGTAACTCACCTCCTGACTCCCAAAAGCCTGTCCACCATTTACAAGGCACAAGTCAGGAGCTTGATGGAATACTCTCCTCTTGCCTGATGGGTACAGTCCCAACAACACTCGAGAAGCTTAACCCCATCCAGGACAAAGCAACCCATTTGATTGGTACCACATCCACAAGCATTCACTCTCTCCACCACGAATGCTCATTTATAGCTGGTGTGTTATCTACAAGATACACTGCAGAAATTCACCAAGGCTTTTTATACAGCACCTTCCAAACCCCAAACACTTCCATCGAGAAGGCAAGGACAGCAGAAACATGGGAACACCACCCCCTGCACGTTCCCCTCCACTCCCCATCCTGACTTGGAAATATATCATCGTTCCTCCAGTGTTAGTGTGTCAAAATGCTGAAGCACTCTCTGTAACGGCTTTGTGAGTTTACCTACAGCACATGGACTGCAACGGCTCAAGAAGGCAGCTCACCACTCTCAGAAGCAACTAGGGATGAGTGATAAATGCTGGTCCAGCCATATCCCACAGAAAAAAAAAGTTGCTGTACCAAATAATCTCCCTGCCCTTCTTCCAAATTTCTGAAGAATATGGGGTCAAGCTCTATGTGTTTATTGATGGCTTTCTTCATGGAGTACCAGGCTTCTAGGAATTCCCATGCCTGTCTCTGCTTAGCTTGTTCCAGGATTTTGGTGTTGTCCAGTTGAATTGGTGGTTCTCCTTATCCATCGACCCCATATACACTCCACTACGAAGAAAAACCAGAAATGAGGCAATCCAGCTCAATGAACCTCAGAGTTTAAAAACCAGGCGGGAAAACACACCGATGCTTCATCGGAGGCTGCACTGAGGATGTTACCAAGCAGGGTAATGAAAAGTCTGCGAAACAAGAAACCAGCTTGGCAAGCCAACTAACCTCAACAAGGTCATTTATGCTAACTGGAGAGAGCACCTGAGTTTTAGCATCCCATTAGAAAGACAGCACCTCAAAACTCCACTGGTGTTTTGATTTTAAGTGTTGCGTTTCAGTCAGTGTGGGTATTGAACATGCAACCTTCTTGATTCAGAGTTAAAGATACCTGCTAAGTAAGCCATGGCTGGCCAGACCAATAAAGATATTCAAACACTTCTCTTGGTCTCTGATCTCATCTCATATGATTGCATTGAATGCTTGTGGGGGGCATTGGGATGGCAAGTGTGCAGGTAGATTCATAGGTGGGTCCATGGGAGTCTCTGCTGACTAACCAACTGCAATATTAGCTGTAACTATTAGGAGAGGACATTGGCAATGGGAGTAGAGACATAATGAAGCCATATCATAATATCATAATAATATCTGGTTATGATGAGAACATACCTGGAATTCTGTATGTAAAAGAAGGATATACTTGTGTTTGAGGGACTTAAAGGTTCACCAGGATAATTCCTGGGATGAGTAGACATTACATTGACCAGACCTATACTCCCTAGAATAGCAGAGGGGGCATAGTGATAACACACAAACATTGAGATCGGGGTGTCACTGAGCTGGTAAATCAAACCTCAAGGTTAATGATCTGGGGATATTGGTTTGACTCCCACTAAGCCAGATGGTGAAATTTGAACTCAATAAAAATCTGGAATGAAACACTAGCCTCGTGGCGGCCAAGTAATCAATATCGATTTCTATAAAAACCCATGTGGTTCACTAAGGTCCTTTAGGGACGGAAATCTGCTGCCCTGCTTGGTCTGACCTACATGAGACTCCAGACTCAGAGCAATATAGTTGACTCCTGACTTCCCTTTAGGTAATAAGGACTGGCCTAGCCAACAGCACCATGAAAGAATGAAAATAATACAGAGGAATGAGAGGTCTTCTTATCAACACGTAATATTCTTCAGGAGCTCAATAGGGTAGATGCTGAGAAAATATTTTCTGTGGCTGAGAAATGAAGGACATCAGACAATAGTTT